TTATCGCAGGGGACCGGAACGCACGCACTGGTCCGTCAGACGAACATACTGGGCATGTTCCTGAAGATTTCGGCCTTGGTCAACGTTGCGAAGATGGCGAACGCCTAGTCACATTTGCTGACCTTAACCGACTGGTCGTGACCAACACCCGTTTCCAGCACCCCAGAAAACACCTGCCCACGTGGTACTCAAATGATGGTCGAACGGCACACCAGATTGATTATATTTTGGAACGTGCTCGGTGGGCCTCTTCGGTAGAAGACTGTCGTTCCTATCGCGGCGCTGAAGCTGGAAACAAGAACGACAAGGACCATATCCTTGTACGCGCCCGTTTCAAGATCCACCTGACTGCTCACCGGAAGACTCGTCTCCCAGAAAAATTCAACGTCATGCTCTTGGAACGACCTGAGAGAAGGCAGGCGGTGCTAGACTCAACCGCTTCCAACATAGCCGAAACTTTCTTTGATGACTCAACTGTCGAGGCACAGTGGTCTACACTGAAAACGTCCATCAGAGAGCAGCGCTGGGGCAGTTAGGTGAGATTCATTGCCACAAGAGAAACTGGATCTCCGAGCGTACATTGCAGTTGTCCGCAAAGGCAAGAGATGCGCGACTGATCAATTCTCCTGAATTTCGTATTCTCCGTTGCCAAGCTACACGCTCCGCCAAGAGTGACCGTAAACAATACTGGAAGGCGACTTCAGACAGCATGGAGGCTGCAACCGTCGCAGCGGACTTTGGAAAGCTGTTTCGTCTAATTTGTGTCGCAGCAGAAGCGGTAGACATCGGAACCACTGTTGCGCAGCACCACAGGCCAACTTATTCAGGGAACCGAGCAAAAAGTGCAAAGGTGGGTTGAACACTTCGACAGGCTGCTCAACTGACCATCAAACCAAGCTACAGATGTCAAGCAGTTAGGGGACTTACGACGTCAATTGTGACCCACCTAGTACGACAGAAATCATCAAGGCAGTCACTTCTCTGAAAAACAGTAAGGCCCCTGGAGAAGACCGGATACCACCAGAGTTATTGAAAGCTTACTTACCAACTCTGATCGATCCGCTGTACTTTCTTTTCCATACCATTTGGGAAAGAGAAGTTTTTCCAAAGGACTGGACGGCTTCGATTTTAGTCCCGGTTCTGAAAAAGGGTGACAGAACTAGATGCGAAAATTACAGGGGTATTAGCCTAATTGATATTGCGGCCAAATTGTTTGCAGTGATACTGCTCAATCGCTTCGCAGTCGTCAGAGATACCCACACTCGCCCGAACCAAGAGGGGTTTCGTCGCGGAAGAGGCTGTGTTGAATAAATCTTCACTCCCCGCAGAATTCTGCAACACCGCTGCAAGTTCCAACAGCCCACCACTGCATGTTTCATTGACGTCGAAAATGAAGACATTTTCGACCGAAACTTCTACCATGACACAACCCCTCTCGATTAACGGGGAGCTTGTCAAAGTAACCGAAGTTTTCAAGCATCTTGGCTCTGCGATAAAACCAAACGGCCAGGCTTAGAATGAAATCCAACTCCGTGTAGATGGAGCTAGAGCCTTCATACAACTCCTCAAACCGTTGTGGAATCGATGCGAAATAAGCTTTGACACTAAGCTTCGGGCTTATCAGGCTTCTAACCGCCCCATCCTCATATATAGTTGTGAAACCTGGCCGCTAAGAGTACAAGATACAGAGAAGCTCGAAGTCTTTGATCATTGATGCTTACATCTTGAAAGTAAGTTGGAGAGATCGGATTTCCAATGATGAGGTTCGACGGCGCTGCTCGAACATTGACAAGCTTTCAAAAATGCTACAATGCCGGCGCCTTCAGTGGTTTGGCCATGTGCTCCGAAGGCCCGACACTCTCGCGACAGGCTGTGGCCCCCGCACCGTACCGTGGATGGCTTTGCCGACTCGGTGGTCAACTGAAGACCTGGAGCAGTACAACCAAGGCGGATTTGGAATTACTGGGTCTTCAATCCGCATATGGAATTCGAAACTGTAACCAGAACTGGGTTTCTCATTGCGTCAACCTTGCTACCGATCGTCATGCATGGGCCGCCATCATTAGAGACATCCAGGAAGCCGACTTATCCTCCCGCAGGAGTTAGTTGATCAACAGTAAAAAGTAAGTAAATAACGCAGCACCGATCGAACTGCTGCAGCATATACTCGACCCTTCACAGACAGCCGGATGTTGCGACGGCGCCACAGGTGTCTCAAGTTGACAACTGCCAACCGAGCCTTCTGTATGAGAGCTGACACTTCATCTTTGATGCGTCCGCTAGGTGAGATATAGCTGCCCAGATAGCTAAACTTGTCCACTCTCTCTACTAGTTACCCGGTCAGGGTGAGGTTGGCGACTCATCAACATCACGTACAGCGAGATACAGTG